TGGAAAATGTTCAGCATTATCACATTTGAAGATGTTACAAACTAATAAATGAATACGAAATGAATAAATGAGTGAGTGGATGCAAAAGCAAAATTTTAAAAGATGGAGAAGATGCCATTTTCCAATCGTAACCCCGCTGTTGCCTCGGCAATGGGGCCCTTGGGTGGGACGCTCTACAAAATTTGTGCTGCTCTTCCTTCCTCCTTCCTAACATCCATATCCCTAAAACAGCAGTGCTGATATCGGAAGCCAAGAGCAAAGACTGGCAACATCAGCAAGCGTCCCCACTGTGTGCCAGCCATTTTAGAGCAGATAAAGTCATTAAGGAAAAATTTAACAAGGTATAACCTTTCAGCTTCACTCTGCAAACAGCAGGTAGCTTCTCTTTCAGAGACAAGAGCCTGCATTGAAGTCACCAGTAAGCAGGACTTGACCTTCATTTTCAGTATATGCAGCATTAAATATTCATAATCCACGTAATGATAGCATAAGAAGTAGCAGCGTTTAAACATGAATCAAAGGAATAAATATCTTCACACATGTGAGTCATCCTTTCCCAGAATGCCCCTGGTAAAAATGCAAATACCCAGAGCTCCGAGCCTCTGTCTCTTCCAACTTTCTCTTGAAATTCTGAAAGCAACAGGGACTGCTGCATTATGCAATCCACGAATCTCACTCTCATGCTGACACTGGTGGGTCTTTGTTTTTTTTCCCTTATCTGTTAGATAAGAATTGCTGTTCTTGTGTCAAAGAGAGGAAATAGACAAGGATGGAAGCAGCAATGGTGACATTAGCACCCACAGGGCGTTTGCAGGCACTCTTGACTTGGTTGTACAGTTTCTAAAAAATCTTTGCTTCACAAGGATCAGAATGTGTGGGAGGACAGGGATGGCGTAGGTGTCGGAAGACATCAGAACTAGGAGCTAAAGTGACGTGTGACATAAATTGGGCAGGAGTCTTTTTAAAAAGAATGAAAAAGAAAGGGAGCTTTTTGTACAAAATCCACCTTGTGTGGCTAATTGGAGATCTTTGGGGAGATGGTGTGTGCAGGGCTCAATGCTTGTCTCTGCTTGTTAAGGCACTGATGTGATGTCTGACCAAAGACTTGGTCTAGAGACATCTTCCTCTTTTTGGGTGTTTCTAGAGAGTCTACTGGTGGGATGATAAAGCATAATTTTAATATGGTTTGATGTAATTCTCTTTGGTTTTCAACTCCAGGAGCTCTGAGGACAATCTGTCTTAACTAGACAGTAATCACTTGAGGCTACACAAATGAGTCTTCCCTTGAAATCACCCTAGGATCATTAAGACCAGACCCAAGGAAAATGCCCTATGCTGGGATCTATCTTTGCCTAATGGCCAAAATCAAAAGGTGTGCAGCTGTCTTTGGAAGTGGCTTATCCATCACCTCTAGATAGTAAGAAGAGCTTTGAAAGGTTAAAAAGATCAAGAACCCACCAATGATGTACATTTCTCTAAACTACATTACTCATCTGCTGATAGACAGACATAAAATAACCACCTAGCCTGCTTGTCCACTTGCACAACTGGAGCTGGCCTGCCTTGAGACATATCTGGTTCAGCAGACCACAGGAGCCTGTTTCATAAATTAATCAGCATTCCTCGAACTTTTTAAAGGGCTGGGTGCAGAGAGCCTGGAATCTCAAACTTATACTACAGGATAGTCCTCACCATTCTGCAGGGCAGGGGGCAGGCAGCTCTAGCTAAAATTCACCAAGACAAGCTATTTCATGCATGTCTGTTGGATTAGATTCACTTGTGGGGAAAGCCTATATATTGTCCTCTGATTTATTTATTTGAAGGGTGTAAATACTAACTACAATTTATCTGGAGAATTCTGAGTGCTTTTTTCCAGGGTGATGATTTAGTGTAACTTCCATGAGAAGTTTAAAGCTGTCTTTCCAGATGGCCAGCCAAACCATGAATGTGTAAAACTGGTAACAGTTTTGAATGAAAGACATGGATTTTAAGAATTTACATTCTACTTTCTCACTTTCTTTCCATTTGCATCTTATATGTGTCTGGAACTTCATTTTTTTCTCATTCACTAAGCTTGATTATAATTTTTTAATAGATTTCACTGTGTTTTATTCCTGTAAATCTATGGATTTACCATTGTGATGGCTTTAGAGATCCTACAGTACTTCTCCCCCAAACTTAAACTTCGCTTGTTTGCTGTCTTTCCCCAGGAAGATGGAAAACTCCCTTGTGCTGACTCCACTGATGGGGCCGCCACAGGACAGAATCTTCGGATATGGTCTCACGACCAAATGACATGATGAAAATGAAAAGTGTCAACACATGCATACGTATGTTCATTGCAGCCCTGTATACAATAGCAAAGACCTGGAACCAACCCAAATGCCCATCAATGATAGACTGGACAAAGAAAATGTGGTACATATACACCATGGAATACTACACAGCCAAAATGTGGTACATATACTCCATGGAATACTACACAGCCATAAAAAATGATGAGTTTGTGTCCTTTGTAGGGACTTGGAGGAACCTGGAAACCATCATTCTCAGCAAACTGACACAAGAACAGAAAGCCAAACACCACATGTCCTCACTCATAGGTGGGTGTTGAACAATGAAAACATGTGGACTCAGGGAGAGGAGCATCACACACTGGAGGTAGTTGTGGGGGTAGGAGAGAGACAGCAGAGGGTGGGGAGGGAGGGGAGGGTGGGAAGGGATAACATGGGGAGAAACGACAGATACAGTATGCACCTAAAGTAAAATAAATACATTTTTTTAAATGAAAAGTGTCTACATAAATAACCAGAAGGTCTTCTTATAAACAAAGCCTTGCTATGCCAAACCACACAGTTTAGCAACAGAGAAGAAAGGCTAAAGCTGGGATGAGGTTAGGACAGTCCTCAAGCAGAATGCGAATAGCCTTGTTTGTAACCTTACTGGCATTTTTGCTAGGAAAGGTGAGGATACGACTGAAGTTACATCTTTGGGATAGACTATTTGCAAGTCCATAAAAGAAACTGGAATCAGAGGAGACTACCAATGTTGTCTTCCCCAAAGCTAAGAAGAATCATAATTAAAGCCAAAGAACATTGAGATGGTGTAGGACATTAGGGAAAGAGGGTACGCATTGGGGAATTTCATTCTTTTTCATCTCCTCACATGGAAACGGAGAACACCAGGATCTATAGAACAAAAGACTGCCTCATAGTAGACTGTAAAAAACGACACAATCCAAATCCATCTAAAGAGCATTTTATTTCTGAGAAATACAGAAGCACAAAAGGCTAAAAAAATTAAAAAACAAAAAGGGAAGGTAAGTGCTGGCCGAGGCATCTGTACTTCTAACCCATCACCACACTCACCTCCACATCAGGGTTTTTTCTCTCTGGGGCGTACAGGCCACAAGCCCAAACCTCTTTCCTGAGCCCAGCATGGAAGCTGGCAGGGTCTGTACCCCACGATATGTGAGAACACCCCTGGAGAGAGACTGGAGAAACAAGACCAGGGACTTTAGAGGATCTTCAGTTCAATTCAAATAGGGTCCAGAATCATTAAGAGTAAATATTTAAAAGGGGGCTTACCTTCAATGACATGTCAATAGAAGTCTTCCAAACTTAAACAAGCTCTTCTCTTTCTTGGCTCAGGAGAGCCGATGGAGAGAGCCTGTGAAATCTTGCCTCCTGACAGTGTTTAAAGGACTCTCCATCTGAGATGGGTGACGGCATCCCAGACTCACATGTGGGGATGGGCTGAAGGACCTCTGATAGGCTTAGACTTGGCTGATTCCCAGAGACACGTTATTAAAGGAGGTATTTTCTTTATTTTCCCTGACTGACATTTTGGCCAACTGCACCCAAATGCACAAAATTCTTGGCTGGTGACCAGATGGCTCTGAGAAATTCCGAGTTTAGGTGTGCCTGAAATTATCATCATCCCAGGCCACAGGAAAGGAGCACTAAGCTCAGAAGTCAGGCACACCAGGATGTGAGCCACCAGGGACACCAAGCAGGTTTCCTAGTATCAAAGTCTAGTATCCAACCACAGCAGGGATAGAGTTAAAGTTCAAAATGCTCACACAGTGGACAATAAGGGCAATACACTCAAGGCCACTGTCACCAGAGTTGCCAAGTTCACACCACAACAGAAAATGAGTTAGACTCCAACTCGTTTCCCAGATACCATCAACTTCATGATTGTTATAGTATAGTTGGAACAAATTATGCCCTCAGAGTTGGCACCTTCAGGAATCAGGGCAGAACCAGCTACAACCTTGCAGTTCTAGTCTGTGCCTCTTCATCCTTCCGCAAGGTCTTTATCACCTGTCACCCAGGCTCACTCTGGAGCTAGTACTAGTCCATTCGACTGGTACCCAAGGAGTCTGCATGAGTGTCCGCTCTAGAATTTCTCAAAAGGCCATGGGCCTCCACCTCTGGGAGTCATCATGAACTCCTCCATCCATCTCCTTACCTTGCCATGTCAAGAGGCACCAGCATGCAATGCTGATGAATACCTGGTTGGCAGGTGAAAGGACAGCACCATGCTTTCTAATCTGACCTCCAGTAAGATCAAAGCATTGGAAACCCCACTGAGAAAAGGATCCAACAATCATGGCAAGAATGGCTCAGACCCCCATCTGTGGGAAACTGGCGCCCTCCCAAAAGTTGCAAATTCCCATCAAGTCATCTTAACTACCTGGCATCTTCATGGTAAATACATCATCAGAAAACAGCTCTTTAAAAATAAAAAATACCTAGCAAGAGGGCTTGACCTCAGATACCTGTCCCTCCTATGCCAGCAGAATCAAAGTAGCCTTCCTTCTGAGAACTTTCTTTCCCACTTATAAAATCAGTACCGAACAGCCCCAGCTTACTCCAAAAGTCTTCTGCACTGAGAAGGCTCTTGCAAAGGCTGGTGTTAAGGTAATTCAATGGCTCAACATAAAGGCTCGTGATAGTTTATGAAACGAGGGCAAGAAAGTATATTTGAATACTCACTTTGACGAATCTATGAAGTATATTACAAGTGCACCGATGCTGAGAGCAAAGACTAAGACAACCTGAAAAAGAAGAGGAGAGTGCCATCACTTAAGAGCTGGACCTCAGGATGTTTGGGTTTTTTTGACACATGCAGCAGCAGCTTTGAAATATGGTGCCCATTGCTCTTGGGAACCTGCTTGGAAATCTCACCCCCTCCCCCAGCCCACCATACTCCCTCCAGATTGGCTCCTCAGCAACCTCGCTCCTTGCCAATAGGGGTCAGGGCAGCCTTTTAAATCTCAGGGCACTGGATTTTTTTTTTTTTTTTTTTTTTTTTTTTTTAATCTGGCCCTGTTATCTCAAAGTCCAGCTTCTCTGCAATTGAAGTCGATAAACTTCAGTGGGAAAAGAGCAGGTGAAAATTTGGGGTGATACAATTTTTCATATTACGTGTAGTGTAGGATCTGCAGGAACTCTAATAAAGGAATATCAACTTTAACGGCTTCATTGAGGCATAATTTACATACCACAATATTCACCCATTTTGAAAGTACAATTCTTCCATGACTTCAGTAAATCTACTAAGTTATGCAACCATCACTGTAATCCAGTTTCAGAACATTTTCATCGTCTCGGTAAGATCCCTCATGCCTGTTAAATCAATCCCCTTTCCCACTTCCCAGCCCCAGAGCACACTAATATACTTTTTGCCTCTATACAAGAGATACCAATTTGAAGAGCACAAATTTGCTCGTACAAATGTGTGTATGTGTGTACATACATAAAGATATATTCATTGCATGTGTGATCTATGTGATATAACACTTTTGAAATAGTCATGAAAACAGTTTGGTTAAGGAAGTCAATTAGGCAATCCATTAGGCCAGTTATATGACAATCCTTATCCTACTCTACACTCTTCAATCAAAATTAATCTCCATTGATGGAAGACAGTTTTGGCAGCTCCTTCAGTGGATACCTGTCATGCTAAGGTCCATCAAATGAATGTGTAGCAGATTAGGCTGACAGTGACACCTCTGCCCTCACTACACATTCTACTTTCTTTAATCTTTCAGAGAGGAGACTATTAATGGGAATAAAGAATAGTCAGAAATAAAGAAGTTTTCAGCCAACAATTAAGACTGAGAACAAAAAGTAGGCACCAGCATTACACACAACACCTGGCTTCCAGGTCAACCTTTCGGGTATGCTAATGTCCTGAAGAGACTGCAGGCTGAAGGGCACTGGAAGTCAGTGTCCTCAGTGCCCACCTATTAACGTCTCTCAGGCCTTGACTGGTGGGCAGAGAGGAATCCCAATGTATGTAGTATGTAAACCCCAATGTATCATCCCAACGCATGATCAAGCTGTGTGTGTGTGTGTGTGTGTGTGTGTGAGAGACAGAATCTCTCTCTCTCTCTCTCTCTCTCTCTCACACACACACACACACACACACCTGTATTTTGAATGTATGCCAAAGTGGCTGGCAGAAAATGAAATCTGCATGAGATACTCATTTAAAGCACTGCAAAACTCCATGGAGCTCCTGGGGCAGAATGGTGGCTTGCACAGGCCAGAAAATGACCATTAAAAACACCGGATACTGTAAAAGGAATGTGCAATTTCATAGCAACCGATAAAATCTCCATATAAACGGAGGTGTTAAAACAATACACCACTGAGGTTTATTTTGTTCTGCCATTTTCTTTTAAAAACTAAAGCATGTTCCAATTGAATGCGGCAATCTATCAGTAATTATCATCCGCCCAGCACTAATCCCTCTTGGCTGCTTCACCTCAGCCCCTCCCCTCACACACATTCATTCATATGTTCCTTTCAAAGGTACACACAAAAACAAGCAAACAAAAATAAGAACAGACCTCTGATTTTTCCTCTGTTTTCTAAAGGAGGCAGTAAAACAAAGAGCTTCAGATTAATTTTGATCTGTGCTGCTATTTCTGAGGCATAAGCAGTTAGACCCTGGCCCTGACCTCATTCTCAAAAAGCTGCAAAGAGAAGGGGTGTGGCCAGAACCCAGGAGAAGGGCCTCTTCTCCATTCATAAACAGCTGATTTAAGACTAATCCCTGTCCATTTGGCTCCCGGTGTGTGTATCTGTGAATGCTGAGCATCTGTCAGAGCTGGCTAAAGCCACTGTTGCAGAAAAGGATAGGAAAGAAGTCCTTGCAAATGGCATCTACATCATTCTGTAAGGAACTCGAAATCTAAGACCCCTGCAATGGCAGTGATCTCCCAGCATCCAATGGGCAACATAGCTGATACTAATTTGCTTCAGCTGCCTCCACTTGGAGTCTGTGATGGGGACTAATGCGTTCCTTATTTAAGCAAATCAGCCAGTGACAGGAAGAGGGCAGGAATCTCGCTGCCCTCTGAAGATGAAAACTCAAATATCAGCATCTCTCTGATAGGGTAAGAGAGGGAAGAAATGCAGGAGGGAAATGACCTCCACAGCTCCCCGGCAATGAAGATTTTGCTGAATGGACCTGCACTTGGGTCCACATGTTCAGCTGGAAGGCCCCCTCTCAATGAGGTACAGGATAGGCAAACTGCCTTACGATGCACTGTGAAATGCTCCCTGGGGAGATGATCTGCCGCTCAGTGTTAAGGTAACTGTGCATTTAGTCTTGAAACTTGCTAAATGCCTCTTTATCGTGTCAGGCTCTATCACATTGTCAGCCCAGATCCAGGTGCTGCAGAAAACACATCAACCCTTCGGATGTGGTCATGAAAACAGAATTTCCATTAGAGACTTGTCTTCTCTAGGCCCCTGGCAAAGCCACCTTAGAAGTGTCCATTTATTCTCTTTCTCTATCTAACAAATCCCCATTGTCTGAGAACTCGAAGTCTGAAAAAAACAAAATGGTTAGATTTTAGTCTATCTGGTAATGGTAGTATTATAGAGTGCCCCAAATAGTAATCTAAGTATTTAACATATGCTATATATAAGACCCAAGAAAAACAAGATGGAAGGCCACTCAGAGTCATGAAATATACTTTTTCTTTTTAGACAAGAGTCTTGTTCTGTCACCCAGGCTCAACTGCAGTGGCACAATCTCAGCTCACTGCAACCACGGCCTCCTGGGTTCAAGCAATTCTCCTGCCTCAGCCTCCTGAGTAGCTGGGATTACAGGTGCCTGCCACCATACCTGGCTAATTTTTTGTATTTTTAGTAGAGATGGGGTTTCACCATGTTGGCCAGGCTGGTCTCAAACTCCTGACCTCAAGTGAACTGCCCGCCTTAGCCTCCCCAAGTGTCGGGATTACAGGCATGAACCACTATACCTGGCTAAATATACTCTTTTTTTATAGTCATTCATACATAGATTAATCCCATGCTATTATGCAATTAGTGATAAATCATATAGTACAGGTTTAGCCAATATAAAATGAACTATTGCCTAGATGGATCATTAGTAACTGGGTTAGGGTAGGAAAAGCAGGTGTCTTGTCTCAATAGCCTCTCCTTTCCCAAAATGTCCTTCCTTTCTACATCGTACGGCTACTCCAATATCCCTCCAGGAAGGGGTGGGGTCACTGGGAATCCTCTTACAAGCTTCTATAGTTTCAGGGACAAGGAGGACAGAAGCCCAAGGGACATGGTAAAATTAAGCCAAGGAAAGCACAGTACCCCAGAAAGCAAAGCATCCCTGCCCTCCAGCAGCTGAGTTGTTAGAATAAGACAATAACCAGGCATGTAACAAAGCACTGTCCCACACAAGGGCTTGGGGACAGCAGTATGATACACAGATAATTTGAGCATTGCCTCTCAGGGCACTTCTGCTAACTTGCTTGAGAGCCTGTCCTGCTTACTAAACTTGCCATCTGTCCAAGCTCAACGAATCACCTCAGCAACCTTGGAAGGTATGAATTGCCACCTTCTCAGATTTACTGAAAACACCCATATGCTGTGTGGTGATATCGAGTACTCTGTGTACCAGATTCCTAACAACAAAAGCAATTTGATAAATGTCATTGGAACAATGGTGCTTTGAGTCATCTATTTTCAAAACTCCAAGATCAAACAAGACATGTGTTTGCATAAAAGAATGCCAGGAACACACATACATGGTGAATTTTTTATTTAAAGGGCAGAGCGCATTGGCTCACGTCTGTAATTCTAGCATTTTGGGAGGGCATGGCAGGTGGATCACTTGAGGCCAGGAGTTTGAGACTAGCCTGTCCAACACAGTGAAACCTTGGTTCTAACAAAAAATACAAAAATTAGCATTTGTGGTGGTATGAACCTGTAGTCCCAGCTACTTGGGAAGTTGAGGCAGGAAAATTGCTTGAACCCTGAAGGCAGAGGTTGCAGTGAGCCAAGAGTGTGACACTACATTCCAGCCTAAGCAACAGAGTAAGACTCTGTCTCAAAAAAAAAAAAAAAAAAAAGTGTGTCTAACACCTGATGCAAAGAAGGAGCCTGGTGCTAAATGGGGAGGAGAGAGGGAAACTCCACAGCCATCTCCCTAGATGAAAATCCCAGTGGGCCCTGAAGATCTTTCAAATGCCTGACAAAGTTCACAAAAATGGAAAGTAGTACAGCCAAGCACAGAGTATTCCCCCTCAGTTGACGTAGCACTTCAGAAAAAAGGCAGATTCGGTGATGTGAGTATAGAGGTGACTGAGTCAGGAAAGCCGGCTCTTAGAGATGGTCCCTGTTCTAGAACCTGGTTTAGAGTCGCTGGGATTAAGCCCATGTGCTTTCAAGGGGTGTGTGAGGCTTCACACGGCCTTGGGAGACAAGATTCAGAGCCAAGGCTCACAAAGGTGGCTCCCACCAGAATCCAGTCACCTGAGGAGCTTTCCTTACAAAGCAGAGACCGCCCTCATCCTACCCTGGGACCAGCGAATCATGAGCTGGGGGAGGGGAAGGCTGGGCACCTCTTTTTCACAACCTCCTCCAGTAAATCTGACTTGTGGCCAAGAATGGGAGTCACTGAATTAAAGCCATTAGGAGAAACCACTTAGCTCAAGTCAGAGATTAATTTACAAATGTCGCCTTAACAATTAGCCCATTAGAACATATGTATGAGGCCTGCAGGCTTAGAGAATCGTGCTAG